TTTTCTTCTTGTTTATTTTCTTTCTCTTCTAACAACTGCTGTAATTTCTCTTTTTGTTTATTTTCTTTCTCCCCCAACCACTGCTGTAATCTCTCTTGTTTATTTTGCTGTTCGAGCTGCCATTGTTGCAGGTTTTTCTTGCCACTGCTGTTATCTCACTTCTTGTTTCTTTTCTTTTCCTCCAACAACTGCTGTAATCTCTCTTTTTGTTTATTTTCTCGTTCTTCTTGTTTCTTTTGCTGTTCTTGTATTGCTTCCATCAGATCTGCTAAGCTTTAGATTGATTTGCCACTTCTCGTTTCCATCTTCTTTTTTCTTTTCTTTTTGTCCCTCTCTCTGACACCATTTTGTTAGTCTCTGGTCGTTTGTTAATTTCTCGTAAATTATTTTCAAAGAACTTCAGTGATTCAAGTTCTTTCTCAAATAAAACTGGTTTATTCTTTCTCAGTTCAACTTAGCAATACACTTAATTTCCACAGTCACTTTAACTTAAACATACTCTGTAATTTACAAGGAACAATTCACGCACTTTCCTTACTACCGTGCTTGACTCAATTGTCCGTCTGTATCTTCAATCTCTCTACCTGCTATACAGTTATTGCCGTCACTTTATTTACCGGCTTATATACTAAAATAGAGGGCGCCTAGCAAATACTGGATTATTGGGTGATGTTCCCGATCCTTCTAGAAATTCATCACATGTTACCAGCGTCACATGACTTCTGCTGTCGTAACACTTCAAAAAATATGTATTTTATTGTAGAAATATTTAAGCAATAAAAACATTTTTAAGAGATATTTACTTATTACTAATAGGGTCTATTTTCCCATTTCCTGTTCATTTTGAAATTCAAAATTGTCCATTGGATTTTGAGCACAACAATATATGACGACCCTACAATCCAATTTGTATACAATCTCGGCAGAAATTTAGATGAAAATGGTTTGATGTTTTGCAGTCAAACCTCTAAGATTATTCAATCTTCCTTCGTCCTACACTTTTGTATCTTTATTTAGAATTATTTGGGATTGTTATGGTAACAAGTTATTAGAGTATTTAAAGAGATGAGGCTCAACGAGAAGAGACGGAGGCAGGGGTAAAGACAAGGTAAATTCTTTGCGTGAACCAGAGAAAAAGAGACAACTTCGACAAAGTGTCAACAAATAGGCCTTTTCAGGGCCTAGTAGGGATCTATGAATCGTGCGTTGTTAATATCACTGTGAGTTATGCTTACTGCCTAAATGGAAATAACATTTTGCATAATAGCGTCCATTACATTAAGTTTTGTTGAAAAACAAATTCCGTTGTGCTTATAGTACCACACTTTGCAGACTCCGTAGCAAGAACTGTTGGAATTATTACACTATTGTCACCTTGTAGATGAGGCAACACCATAATTGCTTGGATTTTGTAATTTGCTGTTTTCACTGGTAGCATTCATTTTAGCTCACTGAGAGGACGTGGGTAACTTACGTGTAACGTCTAAATGATCGTCACAGCAACTTGAAGAGCCTCTGTTCAGTACAGGTACAGTGAGTTTGACGTAGAGGAAACGCCCCCTATGACACTGATTAGTGCTATGACATCCTAGTCTCAGCTGGGTTGTGTTTCAAGCATACTAGGTTAGTTTGTTACAGTTATATAGTTTGATCACATGCATAGGTTATAGTGCCTTGTAAAATAATAGTAATAATAAAAAACACGTACTCTAAATATAATTGCTGTTGATCTTCCAAAATTTGAAAATGTCTTCAACAGCTACGAAATATCTTGTGAAATCTAAAAGTGGTCTGCGTATTGTATGCGGAGAAGAATCCAGGAGAAGCCCTTTTGAATTATCGGAACCTCCGTGGATGCCTGATGAAGAGGTAGGTTAAGAAGTACTAATAGTAATATAATTGTTAGCAGTATGAGAACTGAAATTGTGAAAATTAATACACGTTACATTTATTTGTTATTGTTTTAGTCATTTTAACTTGTACACCAGTTTTCATGTCTAAATGTTTAAAATTACTGTTGTATTTGTAGAATTAATTATGATTTAAATGGCCCATATGTTTTATGCTTTTTGTTTTTCGTTTTCAAATTCAAGTACCCCACCCACCGTCAAGTTTGTTGATCACATTCTTTAGGACTTATTAAAAAGTAAAATTCATGTGCTGAAGACGAAATTGTTCATGAACTGAGAAAGATAAGAAAAACTTTGAACAGAATTCAAGCCGAGGAAAACCTCGCCTGATCCACGGACTAAACTCCTATTAGTATAAGCATTACTTTTAAGAACAGAACACTATAATAATATAGACATCTTGACTTGTCTTGAGTGAATTATCTACCACTGTGAAAAGATAATTTTCGTCGTTCAAGCTATTGAATTTGCTCCATCTACATTAACACGACATATGATACAGATACTGAGATAGTAAAGGACCATTTGGTGAAGGTTGTCTTTGCACATCCAACCCATTATTTTCTGTTAAAATATTTATTTCTCTCATAAGATCCTTTAAGGTACTGACCCCCCTTGCTCAAGTTGTTGCCAATAGCAACTTGTCCCATAAGCCAATTACCCTGTTATAAAACTACAATTGTGTTAACTGATGCCTAGGCTGTCTTTTCCAAATCTTAAACTTGTGTCCTCTCATTCTGCTATTTTCAGAATATAGCACAAAGGAAGCACACTTGTTTATCGACCCACCCTCCCCAATAATCTTGTAAGCTTGAATAAGGTCACCTCTTACCCTTCATATCCCAAGAGTGATTAGTGAAATTTGTTAACTGATTAATCACTGGGCTTATTAACTAATTACTTTCAACTAATTTATTATTCTCATGAGATGGTTATGAAAAACAAATTATTCTCACAAGTTCTCTGAAAAAAAACTTGTATTATCATTATATTAATCAGGTTTTGATACCCATGGGTGGCATAACACTGATAGTCCACTGTGTAGCCTTGCAATTAATAACAAAAATAATGATAATATTTTGATTACTGAGTAACTGGAATAATCAAAAACAGTAATAATTAGAAAAATAATTATTATTATCATGGCATTGATATATGTTTATTTTATTTTTTTTTTCAACTTGAGGCATGATGGTGGGTAAAACAAGAAACACAGCCTAGCTAACTAATGAATAAACATTTGCTGTAAAATTCTAATTTATGTACTTTGTACTAACAGATAATTGATTAAAAAGTTAATCACTCAGCTCTGATGTAAGATAACCCATCTTTAGAATTATCCAATTAGCCCTCTTCTGAACTCCTTCCAGCAAGTCAGTTTCCTTTGTTATAAATAAACCAGAACTGTACACAGTATTCCAAGTGAGGCTAAACAGTAATTTGTTCAAAGAAATTTATAACTTTTTTTACTTTTAATGAATATGCTATAAATACATCTTAAAATACTATTGGCTTTACTGGATTCTATTAACAGATCACTGCTTTGATGGTTTGAGTGACTTATCCACCACAAAGCCAAGATTATTTTCTTCAGTCATGCTATTGAGTTGGTTCTCAACAATGTTGAATGTAATCCAAATTATGATAAACCAAATGCAAAGTAACGGTCATTTGCTGAATATTTTTATAATTAACTGATTGATTCAAGTCATTCAGTAACACCTTAACATCCTCAGTACAACTAGAATTATCCAAGAGTTTAATATTATCAGTAAATTTTAGTAATTATGCCCTTTATAACATTATTACTTTAAGTAAGAAAGAGCAAAGATTGAACCACTAACCTGTGAAACACTTAGTAATAAGGGTTGAATAATAACTAATTTCCTGGATTTCGTTAATAAAAATATTCTGCTTTCTGTCATCTATCACTCCTGTTAATAATACACTGTGTGTCCTGCAGGTTGTTTTGATGAAAGTTTCTGATTTACCTAAAAAAAATTGAATTATTAAAGCTAAAGAAAATATTTTTAATCACAGGTGCAGGTAACCAGTTACATGATTACAATTTGCAACTGTAGCTGATCAGTTGGTGCTTTGGAAAGCCTGGCTCGATTGCCACAGTGGCTCCTGGTCTTTTACCTGGTGAAATAGCTAAAAATACAGCCATATAATAAATCATTTTCCTGTCAGAACATACATTCCTTTTGGACGTGGCCATTGTTGCTTACTATATTCAGTCACATCTAACAAAAAATGCAGAGTTAGAACACAGATGTGCATGCTTTTTCTGTGGTGTTGTCTACTAGAAAGTTCATCTACTATGTGATTTTGAATGATCCAATAGCTTAGTGATAAACATCAGTTAGCAGTCCTTGTTTAGATTTGGGGTTTTCAAGAAAACTGATTCAGAAAGTAATAAAACTGTTCAAAGTATACAAACATCTGATACTTCTACTCTTAACTGTAGCTCCCTGTTATTACCTAATGTAATACCTGATGTACTGCTAGTATCCCTGTAAGAGATACTAGTAACAGGCCTAGTTTTCCTGCCAGTATTGATTGTACTCTTATCAGTAGTAGATCCAGTATTCCTGCCAGTACAAAGGTACTTCTGCTTGTAGCAAGTCTAGTATTTTACCGGTACTGATAGTACATTGGCTATTACTGTATTAGTAGATTTGGTACTCTTACTGAAAATTGCTATTCGTTCAGTGGTCTTGTACCAAGTGAGTGTATCATGTAGATGCCTGTAGAATCTGAACACCAGCCCAGCTAGCTTAGTTGGTAGAACATAAGACTTAATATTTCAAGTAGTTTTAAATTGTAAAATGAGGTCAATCTAAAATAAATAATCCCTTTGAACTTCTCTCCCGTTTTGTAGCTTGTATAGATAGGGATGTATTTCTTTTCACTATTATTAATAAGTTTGACTGATTATATGGCACTTACTACACCCAAAGGAACATCTTGTTTTTTGCTACATTTGACCTATTCTCCAGTTTTTATAAATGGCAGTCAACACAACTCAAAAACATTGTAAATTATTTAACCCTTTTGAGATGGGTCACGGGTGAAAGCCCATGTCATCTCATTTGTTGACTTGCTTTCAGAATTTTATTTAACTATTATTTCATGAATTTATGTCAATAAATTTGTTATCAAACTGTAGATTATAATTCACATTTTAGTACAATATTGTTGCGTATCTGCTAGTTTGTTAATTTCGTGTATAAATTCTTTCCAAGGAACTTCAGCGATACAAGTCCTTTCTTAAGTAAAACTAGTTTATTCTTTCTCAATACAACTTTGCAATACACACAATTTCCACAGTCAGTTTAACTTAACTACTTTTATAAGAACACACTATAATTCACAGGGATTCACATACTTTACTTACGGCTTGACTGGATTATCTCTATCTTCAATCTCTCTATCTATGCAATTCTTGTCTTCGCTTTATTTGCCAGGCTTATATACTAAAAAAGAGGGCACTTGGAACAGACTAAAGTTGCCAGGAAAAGTCATGACCCTTCTAGAAACTCCAGTGTGCATGCTCCCAGCGTCGCATGACTTCCACTGTCATGAAATATATTACACAGTTTCATAATTGCAAATTAAATATTTAAAAAAACACAGATAAACATCAATTTTTGTGTGTCACGTGGTATGTTGAATGCAGCACTTGATCAAATTGTGTGTTTGTGAAGTCAAAATAGTAAGTCTGTAGTTTCGTACGAATTAGAAACTCAAATTACAGATATTGACAAGCTAGAATATCAGCCATTTTAAATTCTTAGGATGCCATTTCTTTCTTTTGAACCAAGATTTCAAGGAGGTAGGTGTGTTTTTAGTCTGCTTGATATTTCATATTTTTCTAGACTAAAATGCATTGCTAAATTATAGTCAAATTCTATGGTATTGATGTAGTAATTTTGGGTTTTTAGTTATTCAAATGTATGTATAAAATTAAAAAAAATAATGTTTCATACCCTCCACATGCAAAATGTTTAAAGTCTTAGCAACCTACATCAAGCAGCAAC